AACAAGATCAGTAATTTGCATAGCAACCATGCTGGAGTCGTAAAATCTGGAGGAGGAAGAGGGGGAGCAGGAGAAAGGGAGAGAAGAAGAGAGGAAGGGAGGGAGGGAGGGAGGAATAAAGAACAGGTTGGGAAGGGAGGGAAAAGGAAAGGAAATGGGAAGGGAGGGAGGGAGGGAGGGAGGGAGGAAGGAAGGAAGGAAGGAAGGAAGGAAGGAAGGAAGGAAGGAAGGAAGGAAGGAAGGAAGGAAGGAAGGAAGGAAGGAAGGGAGGGAGGGGAGAAGGAAGGAGGAGAATTTTTTAATGGAGGAGAAAGAGGAGGAGCGAGAGAAAGGGAGAGAAGGGAGAGGAAAGAAAGAAGGAAGGAAAGAAAAAGGGGATGAGGTGAAGGAAGGGAGGGAGGGAGGAAAGAAGAAAAGGGAGATGAGGTGAAGGAAGGAAGGAAAAGGAAGTGAAGAGAATAGAAAGCTTTGGAGGTAGTGGCTAATTAGAATTTAAAAATTAGAATGTAATTAGAATGAAAAATAGCTTTTCTTTTTTTTTTGTTTCAGGAATTCTGGCTGACAAATAACAATGGTGGAAAAGCAGATTATCACATAGTTCTGAAAATCAGCATTTGCACATGGTCAAACCTGGATGCCACTCTGCCCTCTAACGCGGTGGCATACCTAAAATCAGTGCACGGCTAACCCCTTTGCCAAAGGGGTCTGCACACATCATCATTATTCACTGTTCATTTCTAGTTGATTAATTTATCAGGAGCCAAGTAGTCTGACCTGCTTCATAAGAATTCCAACATACAAGAAGAGAAAGTCAATATTGGAGAAAACAAACCAATCAGTGGTGATTGGATATTCTAAATGGACCTTATCAATGTTCATTAGATGACCTGGATTTGTGCAACGAGTTTAATTGCTTTTGCTGCACTGTGTGCCAGTTTGTGTCTCAAAACAGAGAGAGAAAAGGGAGAATTGCAAGGTAATTTATGGAATGGCCAGTGAGTCACCTCTTGGCTGTTCCAATGAGTGGGCTGTGTGCTGGTTATCTCTGGAAACAAAGCTAGGAGGACAGCAGGAAACAAATTCCTGGATTACAAATCTGAAACGTTCAATGAAATAGACCAGTGGTCCTCCATCTCAACAAATTTAAGAAGGGTGGACTTCAACTCCCAGAATTTCAAAGCCAGCATGCTGAAGTCTAGTACAAATTGCCACGAATGATGTCCTTTGGGTCATTTGTTGTACGATGATGTCAGGACCCCCCATGGGGGTCACTGCCTCCCTTCACCACCTCCTCTGCAGATGACCATGGTCTGCTCTTTAACTTGGCCGAGGAACGTTAGTTGTCTCTTCTCTCACCATCGACGTCTGCTCGATTGCCACATCAATCCTTCAAAGATTGAAGGATCCTCCCTATCCTTCAAATGTCATCTCCTTTGGAGATAGCATGGTCTTCTCCTTGGCTTGGTTGGATAATACTTGATCAACATCTTTTTGAGTGCAACATCTCCCCATCCTTCAAATAACTGCTTCCCTGGAGATACTACTGTCTTCTCCCTAGCATGGTGGGATAACACTTGGTCAACCTCTGCTTGACTGCAGCATCTGCCTATCCTTCAAGTGACATCTTCCCTGCAGATTATACCGTCTTCTCCTTAACTTAGTAAGATAACACTTGATCAACATCTGCTCGACTGCAGCATCTGTCCATCCATCAAGTGACATCTTTCCTGGAGATTCTATGGTCTTCTCCTTAACCTAGTAGGATAACATTTGTTCAACATCTGCTTGATTGTATCATCTGCCTATCCTTCATGTGACATCTTCCCTGGAGATTCTATGGTCTTCTCCTTAACCTAGTAGGGTAACACTTGATCAACCTCTGCTTGACTGCAGCATCTGTCTATCCTTCAAGTGTCATCTTCCCTGGAGATTCTATGGTCTTCTTCACTTGGGTAGGATAACGCTTGATCAACTTCTGCTTGACTGCAACATCCTCCCATTAAAACTCAAGGCATAGATCTCCAATTAACATCTGTTTTCTATTCTAGACCATTTGCTCTTTGCTCTAACCTGTTGATCACCCTCTTCTTACTCCAGGCATCCATCCGCCAAAACAGGGGGGGAAAAAATAAACAAAGAGAGGAGGAATAGATAGCCCACCACAATGGGTTCTTAATGAGTTTATCTGCTTTGGTAACTCGAAAATTGAGGCCAGTTGGGGACACCATGCAATTAAGCAACTGTTTTCCAATAGCAGGAATATGAACATTATGGGTTTTAAAGAGGTTCCAAAACAGCTGTCCTCCACGTCAGGCTGTTTCCAGCCCCCCCTTCCACCAGCAAAAGGAGGCCATCTCCTACCAGAAAACCACAGGAGCATTTGAGGGGGGGGGGGGTTGAGGAAAGGATATTAATGTACTCCGTATCCCTCTTTGGCTTACTTACACACAATTGAATTACTTCCCTTTTGTAATGTAAAGCAGTTCTCGGTTGCCAGAATTACAAAGTTCCCCTTTGGCTTGGCTGTTTGAGTAAATTAAATGATAAGGAGGAAGGTGGAGGGAAGAGAAAGAGAGGGAGAGAGAGAGAGTGACTGAGAGAGAGAGATTGAGAGAAAGACAGACAGAGAGAGAGAAAAAAAAGAAAGAAAGAAGTTGAGAGATTGAGAGAGAGGGGGAGAGAGAGAGAGGGAGGTTGAGAGAAAGTGACTGAGAGAGATTGCGAGAGAGAGAGAGAGAGAGAGAGAGAGAGAGAGAGAGAGAGAGAAAGAAAGAAAGAAAGAAAGAAAGAAAGAAAGAAAGAAGTTGAGACAGAAAGAAAGAAAGAAAGAAAGAAAGAAAGAAAGAAAGAAAGAAAGAAAGAAAGAAAGAAAGAAAGAAGTTGAGAGAGAGGTTGAGAGAAAGAGTGACTGAGAGAGAGACTGAGAGACAGAGACAGAGAGAGAGAGAGAGAGAGAGAGAGAGAGACACAGAGAGAGAGAGAGAGAGAAAGAAAGAAAAGAAAGGAGAGAGAGAGAGAGAGAGAGAGAGAGAGAGAGAGAGAGAAGGGAATAATATAAAGTCGTGCATTTCAAAAGCATGAAAACGTCAAAATATAAAACCAGAGGCACGCTAACTGGCAGAGGAGGGGGGGTGGGCAAACCAGGCGTGTTTGTGGAGGAAGAAAAGGGGCCGCCATGTTGAGCAGCCATCTTTGACATACTCCATTCAGGTAGATAACGAAAAAGAATGAGACGTTATGCTTGCTAACATCACGCTCCGGAGCGTAACTCTTTTGCAATTCTGGGTTTAAATTTGTGTTGCATTCTTTCTTTTGGCTTCTCCCCCCCCCCCACTGCCTCTGTTTGTTTGTTTTTCAGTTTCATCTCCAACCTAATAGGCCTATGGATCTGCAGCAAGGATGCCCTAGCCAAGACCGGGAAAGTTCTCCCACCAAAATTATTTTTGGTAGGATGGTTTTCCCAAATAAAATTGCTTCTCTGAAGGATGTTTTTTGGGCCACCCTACCCCAGGCTAGAGGAACGATACTGAAGCTGTGTGGTCATGGGTGTCCCCTATCCTAGCGCAAAAGAGATTTTGTTTAAGGCACATCGGTATGGCGAACCTGTTACTCTTCCATCAAGGTTTTTTCTGCAAAGCATCCTGGGAAATGTAGTAAAAAGTCCTCCGAGGCCTTTCTAAACTTCTATCCAGACATCTGATCCTTCCATCTGGTTACCACCACACAACACACTGAAGGTGGTTGGTTAATAACCAGCAAGTGTAATCACATTACAAAACAAAACATTGTTTGAGATTTGCAAATGTAATGTGATGCCAGCCCAGCCTGTTTGGTTAATTTATGCCCTAGGCCAGGGGTAGGCAACCTTGGCTCTTTTATGACTCGTGGACTTCAACTCCCAGAATTTCTGAGCCAGCATGGCTCAGCTTGGAAACCTCTCCCTTTCCCCTCAGCTTGGCTTGCTCAGGAATTCTGGGAGTTGAAGTCCAGAAGTCATGAAGGGAGCCATAGTTCCCGCATGCTGGCTCAGGAATTCTGAGAGTTGAAGTCCACGAGTCATAAAAGAGCCAAGGTTGCCTACCCCTGCCCTAGTCCATCTTGTACATTCTGAAAACAAGCTAACTCAGTAACCAAGATACGTGCCAAGGATGGTTTAGATAGACCTTTGGTCTGATCGACAAATGTCCACGAGGAATAGTTTGTCAGGATGTGCAAATCACCCATACATTTATTCAAATCCTCTGCTCAGTCCAATACGTTGAATCACAATTTAGGTTCAGAGAGTTGACCGAATGGGCTTTAGATCAAATGTCTGAATCCAATCTTTGTCCGGCCTTAATCCTCAATTTGCAACCACAATCAAGACCATAATTTTTGTTGCTGAGCAAGGCGGTTGTTGAGTCAATCGTGGATCAATTTTACAACCTTTTGGCCAGGGTTATTAAATGAATTTTGAGCTTGTTAAGTGAATCTGACCTCTCTATTGTCATAAGCCACCTGGAGAGGTCAAAAAGGGTGGTGACATGACTCAGGGATACTGCAACCATCCTAAATGCAGGACATGGAATAAACACATAGAGACATAGAATAATAGAGTTGGAAGGGACCTTGGAGGTCTTCTAGCTCAAACCCCTGCTCAAGCAGAAGACACTATTCCATTTTGGACAAATGGCTGTCCAGTCTCTCCTTAAAGTCTTCGGTGATGGAGCACCCACAACTTCTGGAGGCAGGTTGTTCCACTGGTTAATTGTCCTCCCTGTCAGGAAGTTTCTCCACAATTGAAGGTTGCTTCTCTCCTTGATTAGTTTCCATTCATTGCTTCTTGTCTTGCCTTGCTTTGGAGAATAGCTTGACCCCCTTTATCCCTGTGGCAGCCAGGATTGCCAAACATCCAAATTTCATTCCTGTGACCACAGAGATGCTGCAAAGTGTAAGGGCTGGCCAAAGTCAGTGCTGTTTTAACGTCAAAGGGTCACTCATGGTTATAAGCAAAGGGCTACCTGCATTTAAGGCTCCTTCACCAGCAGTTGCAGCACCACGGACAGCTCCTTTCATCCTGCCTTGTGTTTCCAGCCTTCCCCAGTTCAGTGCCGTCAATAACGCCATTCTTTCTATTTCAGAACCAAATTGCCCACATTTTAGGAGAAAGCAGTCCAGTAGGAAAGAAAGCGTCGCAGCTGCAGACCGTAAAGCAGCCTTGCAAATAAATAAGCCACAAAGAGAAAGCCCTCCGCCCAAATCAGACCATTGGAGTGTAACCGTTACAAGACCAAAGCGTGAAAAAATAGCACACCCAGCCGATGTGATTTAATGGTCAAAGCTGGAGACTTCATAAAAATCAATGAACTGCGGGCCCGTCAGACAAATTGACTAAAAGATTTAACGGCATACTCAATTATGAATAACCGCAAGTGGGTTGTGAACATTTTAAGGAGTATCGGAGGATTTGAGGCGATTACCTTTAATTATGTCTCTGCAGAGAAGGGAATATTATGCCGGCCACCATAATGAAGCTCGGCGTAAGTCAATATTTTAAGAAAGGAGCTCTTTTCAAAGAACAAAGAGAACTGAAATCAAGGGGGGAAAAAATGCTCCTGGTGAGACAAAATAATTGCATACAAACCTAGGAACTATTGTGCCTGGGATGGCCGTTGTTTAGAAGTGGTGTTTTTGAGTGGAATGACAAGTCTAGAATATAACGCTGAACAGGAAATGGAATAAATCTGGTTCCTCTCAGCTGGGACCAGTCTCTCAACTTTATTAGCATTCAGGATCTCCCTGGAGCTATTTCTTCTTCTTCTTTTTTTTAATAATGCAGACAGATTGTATTAACTGTCACTTCAAATAAATCTAGAGCAATCTCGTTTCATGTAGGGTATGGTTTGCACAATTACACAACAATCTCTAGATGCATTGGTAAAATGGCCCTGGAAATTGCTATTATTAAGTTGTATTATGGAAAGAAAGAAAGAAAGAAAGAAAGAAAGAAAGAAAGAAAGAAAGAAAGAAAGAAAGAAAGAAAGAAAGGAAGGAAGGAAGGAAGGGAAGGAAGGAAGGAAGGAAGGAAGGAAGGAAGAGGAAGGAAAGGAGGGAGGGAGAAAGGAAGGAAGGAAGGAGGAAGGAAGGAAGGAAGGAAGGAAGGATTGTATTAACTGTCACTGCAAATAAATCTAGAGCAATCTCGTTTCATGTAGGTTATGGTTTGCACAATTGCACAACAATCTCTAGATGCATTGGTAAAATGGAAGGAAGGAAGGAAGGAAGGAAGGAAGGAAGGAAGGAAGGAAGGAAGGAAGGAAGGAAGGAAGGAAGGAAGGCATTTTAGCAGATCAAGGGTAGATAATGGGCAGAAGATATTTTACTAGCAAGAAAATCTTAACTGATACCTGCAGTTTTACTTGGATTTGACCGCCTACCTCAAGATCTCTTGGGAGAAATTGCCTTCATTGCAGTTTTTCCTTGAGTAACACTCATCGATGTCAGTTTGATCTGAAAACAAATAAACTACTTTCAAACTTGTTTTCTATTCACATACACCTGGGTCCCACAACTCAATTGTACAGTATGCCGAGAGCTACATTCTTTGCTGCAGACATGTGATGGGATTCTCTCACCCTGGGAATGAAAATGGACATGTCCAAAATATCACAGAGCGAGAGCAGACAAACATCTCCACGATGGCCAATTTGCATCCTCCCCATTATACCACAAAGAGTTAGAAAGAAGATCAAAAGCAATCGAGAATCCCCACCTTAACGCCTTCCCTGATAAAACGAGGACCAAAATACATCCATCTCCTTTCCACGATTCTGTAATCTAACATTGCGGTAGAGCTGCCAACTCTGAATTTTGTGACAATCTGCCTTTGTTCTGCTGAGTGGCTGTTAAGGGCCTGACCTTAATCTTCGAAATGTCCATTTTCATTTGTAAGGACAAAGAATCCCATCACCAGACCAGACCAGGCTGATTTCTATCTGTTGTCTGAACTGACGGATCAAACAATCAGGTCTTTCTTTGAACATCAACTCCTCTGTGCCAACAGAGACCCACATTTTGCTCTTTTCTAGGAAAGAAAGAAAGAAAGAAAGAAAGAAAGAAAGAAAGAAAGAAAGAAAGAAAGAAAGAAAGAAAGAAAGAAAGAAAACAAAGTAAGGAAGGAAGGAAGGAAGGAAAAGAAAGGAAGGAAGGAAAGAAGGAAGGAGGAAAGAAAGAAAGAAAGAAAGAAAACAAAGGAAGGAAGGAAAAGAAAGGAAGGAAAGAAGGAAGGAGGAAAGAAAGAAGGAAAGAAAGAAAGAAAGAAAGAAAGAAAGAAAGAAAGAAAGAAAGAAAGAAAGAAAGGCTTGTTTCTTGTAGCTGTCTAATTTCCACCTGACAAGCCAACACAATGGCTGTGCATTATAGATCAGAAAGGTGCCAATCCTTTAGGATTTGAGAACATTTGTTGCAATCGGTTACAGATGGAAGCGTTAAGAGCCCAGCCGTGAATTGATTAAAATATTGATACCTGCTCATCACAGCCCTGCTAATGAGCGAATGAATTAAAGAAAGAAAGAAAAGGATGATATGCAAAAAGTATTTTCTTCCTCTCCTCATCTTCCCACCCACCCCCCTATTTGGGTCTCTCTCCTCTCTTTTTCTGTCCCTTGCCCTGAAGAATAGTTTGAATGACATCTGAAGTGTGGAAAAAAATTAACCAACAGGCGATGGGGCAGGGAATTGGGTGTAAAAGTAAAGGAAGAGGCAGGAGGCTGATCAGATGGCATCTGAGGTTAAAATATGTGGAAAGAGAAAGAAAGGAAGGAAGGAAGGAAGGAAGGAAGGAAGGAAGGAAGGAAGGAAGGAAGGAAGAAAGGAAGGAAGGAAGGAAGATAGGTTGGGGAAAGAAGGAAAGAAAGAAGGGAGGGAGGGAGGGAGGAAAGAAAGCAGGAAGGAAGGAAGGTAGATAGGTTGGAGAAAGAAGGAAAGAAGGGAGGGAGGAAGGAAGGAATTTTAGTAGATCAAGGGTAGAATGGATAATTGGCAGGTTAAAATATGATTTCTCTGTTTCTCACTCCTCTCTTTTTCATTCCTTTTTGCCCTTATTTCTTTGTTTTCCTTCCTTCTTCCCTCCCTCCTTTTCTTTCATCATTATTCCTTTCCTTCCTCCTTTCTTCCCTCCCTCCCTGCTGCCTTCCTCCTTTTCTTTCTTTGTTCTTCCTTCCCTTCTTCTTTCTTTTCCTTCCTTCCTCCCATCCATCCGTTCAACCTTTTCTTTTTGTTCCTCCTTTCTTTCCTTCCTTCCTCCTTTTCATCCATCCATCCATCCTCCTTTTCTTTGTTATTCCTCTCCTCCTCCCCTCCCCTTCCTTCCTCCTTTTCTTTCTTTGTTCCTCCTTCCCTTCTTTTCTTTCCTCTCCTACTTTCCACCCATTCTCCCATCCATCTTTGTTATTCCTTTCCTCCCTCCCTTCTGCCTGTCTCTTTTTCCTTCCTCCTTCCTTTCTTTTCCCTTCCTTCCTTCCTTCCTTCCTTCCTTCCTTTCTTTCCTTCCTAAATGACCATTTTCTTTAACCAAGGACCCTGCCAGCAATAAGGTCAGGAGATGCGTTGTGCATCCTTAGTATTTTGCAATCTTTTTCAAAGACAACAAAGAGCAACACTAAGCAGGACAAATCACAAAACCAGATTGTTTCTTGATGAATGTAGATATTTAGCGTTCAGCCGTTACTATATCAAAAGCCACAATAGTGACATTTACAAAAACCTGGGAGATTTTTATTCTATTTTAATTTCTCCTCCTCCTGCTCTTCTTCCTCTTCTTCTTCTTCTTCTTCTTCTTCTTCTTCTTCTTCTTCTTCTTCTTCTCCTCCTCCTCCTTCCTTTTCTTCTTCTTCTTCTCTTCCTCCTTTTCTTCTTTTTCTTTTTCTTCTCCTCCTCCTCCTTCTTCCTCCTCTTCTTCTTCTTCTTCTTCTTCTTTTCTTCTTCTTCTTCTTCTCCTCCTTCCTTTTCTTCTTCTTCTTCTCTTCCTCTCTTCCTCCTTTTCTTTTTTTCTTTTTCTCCTCCTCCTCCTCCTCCTCCTCCTCCTCCTCCTCCTCCTCCTCCTCCTCCTCCTCCTCCTCCTCCTCCTCTTCTTCTTCTTCTTCTTCTTCTTCTTCTTCTTCTTCTTCTTCTTCTTCTTCTTCCTCTTCTTCCTCCTCCTTCTTTTTTTCCAGGCCAGTTCAGCCACCATCAATATGCATTCCTCTCTTGCCTGTTCTAATATATTGGAATGTCAATATCTCCACAGCCAATAAAAATGCATCAGGTACTTTTCCATTGTAGCCGGCCTCATAAAACCGCACTTCATTTGATAAACAACAGTGATTAAAAAAGAAAAAAGGGATCAGAGAAGCTGTGCTGAATTCAGAGATTTCTTTCTGTTAAAAAAGGGGGGCCATAGGAAGAGGGGAAAGGAGGTTTTGATTTAATGGAAGGTTACTAGAAAGTGTTTAGAAGGTGAAAAGGACAATTGGCACCTATTAAGTAGACCTGCTTGAGATCAAACTATCAAAATCTTATGGATTCCTGTCACTCCTCATCAGCCTGGGGGGGGTCAAATTTTGCTCAGCGGGCACCATATTTTATATTTAGAGAATCAGGGATGACAAAGGTTAAGATTGTACATTTGCTGTCCCTAACCCAATAGTTCTTTCTAAGACATGATGAGGTTATTATTTTTTTTAAAAGGAAAAATACGTTATTGGAATGCTGGTAAGCAAAAACTTCAGAAGCCCATTTTGGTAACCCTTCAGTTATTTTTTAATAATTTTTTATTTTTCCAAACTCTCCCCCATACATATACCGTGATATTTATCAGATGTTAACATACATTCTTTTAACATTCATATATAAGATACTTTTAATAAAATGAAAGAAATACATACACTTTTGGTGTTGCTCGCCCGTTTCCCCTTTCACTGTATCCACACTCCTTCTTCTCTACCTTCTTTCTCCCTTTCTTCTCTTCCCTACTTCCCTCTTCTTCCTCCCCTCTTCTCTTTCCTTCACCACTCTCCTCCTCTTTCTCCCCACTTCTCCTCTTCTCCTCCAACCTTCCTACTTCCTTCTCCCCTCCTTCACTCTTTTCTCTCTCCTCTCCTTTCTTCCCTCTCATCCCTCTTCAGATACAATTCAGGGGTAATGGACGTCCTAAAGACTGTTAGGCCCTATACCATTCCAGGCAAATGACTGTCCAGTCTCTTCTTAAAAACCTCCAGTGTTGGAGCACCCAAAACTTCTGAAAATCTTCTAGTCCAACCCCCTGCTCAGGCAGGAAACCCTACACCATTCCAGACAAATGGTTGCCTAGTCTCTTCTTAAAAACTTCCAGTGTTGGAGCATTCACAGCTTCTGGAGGCAAGTTGTTTCACCGATTAATTGTTCTAATTGTCAGGAAAATTCTCCTTAGTTCTAGGTTGCTTCTCTCTTTGATTGGTTTCCATCCGTTGCTTCTTGTCCTGCCTTCAGGTGCTTTGGAGAATAGCTTGACCCACTCTTCTTTGTGACATGCTGTCAAGTTTTGGAAGAGTGCTATCTTGTAACCCCTAGGCCAGAGGTCTTCAAACTTGGCCCTTTTATGACTTGTGGACTTCAACTCCCAGAATTCCTCAGCTAGCGTGCCTGGCTGAGGAATTCTGGGAGTTAAAGTCCACAAGTCATAAAAGGGCCAAGTTTGAAGAGCCCTGTCCTAGCCCTTCTCTTCATTAGGCTGGATATAGCTGGTTCCCTCAAACGTGCATCATACATAATCCTTCATCAAAGGAGTAACTTGGATCCTTGCACTAGGCAGAGGGCTGGACTTGACAGCCTCTAGCATCCCTTTCAATGCTGCTCTTTTGAAAGTCATGTCACATCCATCATTTCTGCCTCTACCCTAATTCTCTCCCGCAGCTGGTCGGCCTGCGTTGCATCGTATTTTGGTTTTTTTCAGCTCTTGGCTTGAAAAAAAAAGCACCCAAATCAAATGCCTTTTCACGCACAAAGAATACATCATTTCCCTTCTCTTTGTCAGGCTTATCTCATCTTGCCACTTCATCATCAAAATAATAATAATAATAATATTCCGACAAGGGAGTGTGGGTTGAATAATTGTGGCGCGCAGCTCCACTCCATCAGCTCCCTTTGGCTTGTGCCAATTTCTTGATTTTTGCTTCTTAAACCAAGCCATCAGCTGTTTAAAACAACTTTTTGGAAAGGAAAGAATTGCATGGACCACATTGCAAACAGCCATCTGAACGCGGTAAAGGTGGGGGGGGGGAAATGAGGTCTTTTGAACTGGAATGACCCCAAACAGGAAGGGAAATAGGAAATAGGATCAGTAAGGAAGTATGAATTAGTTTGATACGATGTCAATCATCAACATTCTAAACCTTGTGGATGGATGTGAGTCTGTCCTAAGTAATGGGGTTGAGTCTATGAATGGACCACAATTGGCTTCCATCATATAGGGACCATCTATTGACCCCTCCCCATT